TTTGCTCGTACATGAGTAGGGAACATTCCCTTAAAGTTTCAGCTTTCTAGCTTTTCCTGTTCCCGGATTAGTAATTTTCGCGCCAAAATTCCCATTTGCCTGTACGTGGGCCCTGGATGCTTCTAAGCGTCTGATTTTGCTCGTACATGAGTGGGGAACATTCCCTTAAAGTTTCAGCTTTCTAGTTCTTCCCACTCCCGGGTTAGTAATTTTCGCGCCAAAATTTCCACGAGCTCGTATTTGGGCCCCGAGCGCTCCTAAACACCTGAATTCGCTAGTACATGGGTAGAGAAAATTTTCTTAAAGTTTCAGCCTTCTAGCTCTTTCCGTTCCCGGGTTAGTAATTTTCGCGCCAAAATTTCCACGCGCTCATATGTGGGCCACGGGCGCTCCTAAACAACTGATTTTGCTCGTACATGAGTAGGGAACATTTCCCCAAAGTCTCAGCTTTCCAGCTTCTCCCGTCCCCGGGTTAGTGATTCTCGCGCCGAAATTTCCACGCGGTCGTATGTGGGCCCCGGGCGGTTCTAAACACCTGAATTTGCTCGTACATGAGTAGGGGACATTCCTCCAAAGTTTCAGCTTTCTAGCTTCTCCCGTTCCCGGGTTAGTGATTCTCGCGCCAAAATTTCCACGCGCTCATATGTGGCCCACGAGCGTTCCTAAACAACTGATTTTGCTCGTACATGAGCAGGGGACATTCCCCCAAAGTTTCAACTTTCTAGCTTTTCCCATTCCCGAGTTATGAATTTTCCCGCCATAATTTTCACGTGCCCGTACATAAGCCCCGGGCAGTCCTGGGCAGCTGAATTTGAAATCTTTTTGTCATACACAGGTAGGGAACATTCCCCCAAGGTTTTAGCTTTCTAGCTTTTCTCGTTCCCGAGTTATCAATTTTCGCGCCAAAACTTTCACGTGCTCGTACGCGGGGCCCAGACGTGCGTGAGAGTTGATACTGGGGTCCTGGAGTGGTACTTGGCTGGGGAACACACTGGCAAAATTTCAA